GAGAACCAATTGCAGTTCGTTTATAAAATGACGGGATTATACTGAGACTATGCATACCAAAATCCTTCAGACGGCAAATTATAAGTGGTGAGACCATAAATATTATCGGAGTTTAAATCAACCCGTATTAAAGGTCAGCTGTGACATGAGCGCTGGAGCTCTTGCATAGTATAGTACAGTTTATTCAGTGACTATGAATACAAAAAATCCTCTCTTAAAAATCTCCAAAATTTAACTGAAATTAGTTTCTATGGAGACCACGCTACTGTTGATCTAGACCATGCAATAAGACTCAACTCTAAATTAAATTCAATCTTATTAAACCTTAGTAATGAAAAAACTTACATCGTTTCCAATAGCTCCGCTTCCCGGGACGTAGTAATCAGGAAATATTTTTCATTGTACATGTCAACCTCCCACATCGCCTTTGTGAAACCGATGGTTTAATATGATATGATAAATACATTTCTCATTAATATTAGAAGAGAGAATGTTATTATTATTGTTATTATTTTTTAATGATATTATTTTAAAACGGTGGCTCTTCAAGGTCACTTACGCACCTGATTTTCAAGAAGCCGTTCGTTTACAGGATATATAATACAAATATACTACACAAATAAATACAAATACATTTTGTTGAATGATTGATTCGTTACGTAAAAAACACCGTTTAGGGGTCAAACTTGATTACCACTTCCTATTTGTGTTGATAAAAAAATTAAATAAGCTGAGGACCTAAATCGAAATATTTTGAGTAGAAAACTCTGAGATTAGTTCTTCTTTTCGTTAATATTTAAAACTAATATGTCAACACCGAGTCACAGATTGCTGACAAGACGTGGTGATGATAAGGTAATTTAAGAACAACAGTAAATAGTTACGTGGATCAAACAGCTTACGTATATATTGTGGGAAACAACGCCACCAAGCCAAAATTTAATTTTTGACCTGAAAGGAGGGGGGCATAACAATATCCTATCAAAAACGGCGAATAATAATTGAGTAAACGTACTATAGATATCATCTGCATGAGTGGAGGCTATCTTTAAGTCTCTGCTTTAAGGCTACTTTCACACGGGACAGGACGAATTCAAGTATACAACCTCAAATTTTTCCTGTCCCGTTTTAACGATGCCTACAAAACCTATTTGCAATTTAATTCTTGGACAAATTATTATCACCGAAAGGCATAAAACTGCAAGGAAAATAGAAAATTGTTTTCGAAGCATTTTGTGAGCCATAGTAGATGTTAAATTATGGTGGTCTTTTCAATCCAATTTTTGGACCATTAAGGCATTTTCCATTTCATCATACATATAGTTCCGTTTTCGCTTCGTTTGAATGATGGCCATCCAAGTCACAATCATAAGTTAAAGTCCTTCTAACACCAACTGTGTTACATTTATTCCCATTTTTTCATTTATATCCGAATATTGGTCGACACTAATATAAGTGGCTGACAAAGCGAGGGAACCGAACCAAAAAATACAAATCACGCTGAAAATCGTATACAAGCGATAAACCTTGACTACTCCGGCGGTTTTGTTTTGTTTTTGGTTTTTTTATTATTTTTCGTCGTCGCAAGTGTGTAATGGCGCGGGAAATATACTAGTATTTGAAATGTGTATGTGATCGGACTTATATCTACGTCCCAGTCTTGTCTCCCAAAAGTTGTGGTGCACAGCTTTAACTGTAGCTGCACAGAATATATCTAATACATGTAGATTCTGTCCTATTTTAATAATATCGCTGCTATTTCGCCGTTTAACAAGATGATGTGGTCGTGTATGGGCGCGTTGACACGTCGTAGTTTGCACAGGATTAAAGATTTAATATAACTATATAAGCGCGAATTCCAAAGGCAAAGTGTAAGACAAAGTGAATGTATCATGCGGTTTATTTACATTTTTGAACAATTGAACTTCTATACTTTTCAAAGTACGATGTGCTTCTGAATTTCGCGATCGAACATTTAGGTTCGCAAGGCATCTAAATGCGAATATGAACTGTATTGTTTATGTTCAGAAGCTTTATATTGAAGACTGGCACGTGCGCCGGAGTTAACGCCAGAAAAGGCGTCTTGTTTATTAGAAAATCTTAGATTATGGCTAAATCACGTGGTTTGGGAATTAGAAAAGACACAGCAAACCCCAGGGAATATACATATAATTAAATACCCAATAATACGTTACATTTCTGATATACATATACTTAATTATCATAATATTAAAGCTAAAACATGCGAAATTTACTTTAGCAAATCAACCAGTTCTTTTTCTTGTTCAATGTATAATTATCTTTAATCTGATGTTATACTTGAAATTAAAAAATGAAAGTAATAAAAACCATCCCAAAACTTTAAGAGTGGAGTAGGAGTATTCTACACACTATGCGAGGCATAGCGAACTTTCGAATAAAATTTTTATCAAATGGTCGAAATGAGGTTGAAACACTCAAAAAAACATTTCAAGATGCTTCTAGAACCATATTGTTGAGATAGTGACTGGTTAACACACCTTGCGTTTCAATTATAGTTTTTGCATCATTTTCTCTTAACTTCATACAGGTTAAGGCTACAATCCATTGTCAAAAATGAAATATTTTATTAGCTATGCCTCACATTACTGTACAAACCCCGGGTTTTAATACTAACAAAACAAAATAATCATAATGTACAAACAAGCAATGAGATCTCTTTAAGCTTTGAAGATTATTAATACTCAATTAGTATGTTCGATATACATACAACCACTGTATAGCATATTTCTAGAATATACAGATCTAGAAAATGGGCTAAGCGGATAAATTATATTTGTAAGTAAAGTAAATATCTTAGTTAATGATAGTTTTCTACCCTCTACCATTTACTTGGTTATAAGAACAGTATAGTAAATTTGGCTATTCCTTATATAGGACATAAAAGCAGTAGTTGGGAATGTAAGGATAGACGATGGCTAGGGGCTGACCCTTAATATGGGACATTCCAATCAGACTGAATCATTGGGTGAATTTGCCCCCCCAATTCCCTGATTTTCGGGCTTAAATTTCACTTTAATTTCTTCATGATCATTTGAACGATGGCAAACAACCAAAACGCGCCTAACTTTCGACTTCATGGCAATTTCATCGGCCCACTTTTGTTCATCGCTCTGCTGCTTCCAAACGAGGTTGAAAATAATCGGTAAGCTAGCGGCAGCGATTGACCCGATTACTTGAACGCTACTAGAGACCCCTGATTTTTGCGAGAATGACATGAGAATGTATAAAAAGTCTGCAAAAGCTATAACAATTAACACTCCTGTGAAATATTGAAACAAAATTTGATCGTAAGGCAAAAATTTTTCCCTGGCCAGATTGTACAACTTCCGTGGGATCATGGGCTCGCCTTTATCGTCAAACTTGATAACAAACGAATTAGATGTGTTGTTGTCGTCGTTATTGTTGTTGTTGTTGTTGTTGTTGCTGTTGTCGCTGTTGCTGTTGTTGTTGTTGTTGTTGTTGTTGTTGTTGTTGTTTTCATTGCAAATCTGGTAAATTGCCGAGTTTAGTAACAAGTATTTCGCTTCGACCGAAAGCTTCCAATTAACCCACGAGTATAATAGAATGGTGGTAAGTGGAGCGAGATACGGACCATACGTTTCTCCGTTAAGCAATAGACCAGCCGCAAAAGGAAGAAGGAAGTTTAAGAAATAGATGGAACCATAAATGATAAAGGAAAAAATGACAATATTCCAATTCCAAGGCAATAGAAGGCATTTAACTAATGTTTCTCGTGTGCTGCGGCAACTAGCTAGACACTCTCCACATTTTTTAATTGGATTCCAGAAATAGAATACACAAAATATTACAACAAAAACAAATACACACGATAACGGGAGAACAATTCCTAAATATATAATGACAAAAGTAATAAAGTATATACGAACCAACGACACTTTGATGAACTGCCGTATTTCATTGTTGCTTTCTGATCGTTGAGAAACTGATGGAATAGATCCATAGCCTTTGGATGTCAATGGAGTACTGATTTGAACACTAACATTTGGTTGGGGTTTTGTTGTATTCTGTTGATCCCAGCAATAACAATAGGACTTGAAAGTTTCTTGAAGTTTCTTCGCCTCAAGCTTGTCCCACCAAAAGTTTAAGTTAAATGGCAGAGAGATTAGTTGAATTAGGTTTTTATAATTATAACAAAAGGACTGTACACATGAATCACCTTGACCTTCGTTAAAGTCGTGTTCGTCGAAAAATAGAAATATTGGTGCCCATGGACATATCAGAACATAAAGAAAGATAGTGGTCCAAGAAATAACCAGAACTCGCACAGGTAAAATAGTCGCTACAACAAATGATACGATCAATAATCTCCGTACACAGGACTTTATTGGTCCACGCCCCTCGATGAATAACATATGCAGTAAGAATGATAACGCCATGGGACTATCTGTTATCATATAATATTCACCGTCATTCTTAAATCGATTGGAATAGTCCAGAATCAATGGGAAAGCAATGAAAATTAATATTGACGTTATTGTAAGCAAAATGATCGGAAAATCATCTGTTACGATTGACGAGTAGTAGGAGCATACTGGATCGTGTTTACTTCTAGCTTTTCTTGATTTTGTTATTTCCATTGTGCAACATTTCAATTCCAGTTCATTAGAGTGGCATAGCTGATAGTCCTGGCCGTCTTCATTGAACAGATACATCTGTTGCAGGAGGGAAAAAAAAACAGAACTTCTGATCGATGTATCGTTTCTGAACAACGACAGCATACAACTTGCGTTTTCTGCGTAGATCAGAACGTCGACATTTCTAAGACCCGCAGACAACGTAACTGCTGACAATGATAAAATTAATGATTGAGAGGCAACTGGTTGAAGCATTAGTGATTGAGAAGCAACTGGTTGATGTATTAGCGAGTATAATGTACGACCGATTTGGTTTGCCCATTGAAAATTTGCCAATAGAGTCCGATTCTTATTCGAGGTATCATTGTCTGCCAGCTGAGTCCAAACATTCAGCTTAATCACATTCGTTTTGCTATCACGCATCAATCTTACGACATCCTTGAGCGACCAGTCGAAATGACAGGCATTCGAAGTATAGCTTGAATTTGTTGAATCTCCCAATCCGATATTTTTTATTTCTGGGTTTTGGGAAAACTTTGTGCCTACTGTGGCTGCGACGACTTCTTTCAAGCAAAATATTAGAATTGGAATGAGCATCGACCCTTTCATACTTGTTGGGATCTCGACACAGGAGTTCTGAAAATAAAACATTTAATCAGTAACATATTTAGTTAAAGTGATGAGGTAGAGAATAGGTGATTTCAATAGTCTTGGTTTTTGCAACACCCTGTATTGTGCAACAATAGGGCCTTCATAATGATAAATAATCGGCATGCTGTAATAAGTGAAATAAAAAAATTACCCATATACTTCACAACGTTTGCTACTATTTCTTATGGTATTCAAAAATTGGGTAAAAAAAATGATAGGTGTTAAAATTAAGAATGCGAGAAGTCCGCATAGTTTATTCTTCACTTTGAAAGATGATGTTTGACCGTGATGTTTAGATTTTTTACCGTGCCATTGAAATATGTTTGTTTGTTCCTAGACAATCTTGACCAAAACACTTTTAGGACGATTGATTTTTTCTCCAAAAATATGTTCACCCCCTTTCCCCCCATTCAATATTGAGTTCTAATCTATGTTTAAACCAGGGAGTGATTATAGCCGACGATGTAGTTGAAAATTTGTATTAATTCTTACCTATAAAGAGCGATGTAATTATTTTCTGTTTCCAAAGATCCAGTGAAGTCTATTTCCGAATAATCTGATTTTCGGTGGATTCCCTATGTAGTTCTATGTCTCGCTGCCACACTGCAAATTTAAATGTTCTCAGGTCAAATTTACCCAGAATTACTTTTTGGGGTGATTTGAAACCTTTTTTCACAGTTCAAGTAACCCGCTAAATTTAGAATGTACCATATGTATATGAATGCGCTCTGTTTTCCACTATTGGCATTTAATAAAAACTAATATAAACTATTTGCTCACACAACCGTTGGCAAAATCATGCGCATAAATTATGTATATATTGGATATTATTTAAACACCTAAAAATCAAACTAAACATTGTATTTAAAGATTATCGATTAGTAAAATTCATACGACATCCTTTGAAAACTTAAAAAAAACATTGATAAAGCGTCAGTAAGCCTAAATGCGATAGAAAATAATTTTTTCGTTTTTAACAAATGTCGCGTTTATAATCACGTTTCCATAGCAACTGCATGCTCGTTTTCTTGCTTCTTGCGGTGCAGCTGTTGCATGTCAATGCGCGCCCATCGACTTCCGTGAACGCTTTTTAACTTAAAACAAATTTTTATATGTGCTGCGAGGCATCTTTTTTATGTGTTTTTCTCGTGTTATCCCAGAGCTGATCAGAAGCGCAATGGCAGTTCTCCGAAAACAACTTGCACTTCAGCGGACGCGAATTTAGTTTCTATGGAGACCACGCTAACGCTTCCCTAGACCAATAGGCTCGAACTTAAAATTGAAATTGAATTTAATCTCAAAATACTTCTGGAATGTGTTATAGATACGACAAGTGGTTTATTGTCTACATCCCTTATCGCCTTTGTAAAAACAGATAGGTTAAAAAAATTTCTCACGTACAGAGCAATAAGTTATACACAATGTTATATGAATACTAAGTGAAGGAATCTTTATAATAAATGTGCTGGGCTGGTTGTTTTCGGCTACAAACGCAACTTCAATTTCTCCTGGATTATCTGAACAACGGAGAACGCCGCCAAGCTTAGACTTTAGGGCAATCATTCTCTGAGCAATGCTCTCTGGGCAATGCTTTCGGCTGCCTTTTGCTCGCAGTTCTACTGTTTTCAAACGACGTTGAAAATAATTGGTAATAAAGTGGAAGCAATGGAGCCCATGACTTAAACATCTTAAGACTCGGGATGTTTCTGAATACGAGATCATAAAATATGAAATTAAGGTACGATCAAGGAAATTAGGGTACGACCAATTTCGTTCGCCCAAGTCCATTTCATTTCAAGTAAACCTCGAGTCTTGTTTGCCGAGGCAACGGTCACTGTTATTTCAATGGTGTTTATGGTGGGAGCAAGCATTGGCTTAATCAGATCTCCCATGAACTTCGATTCTTGTAAATCAACAGTGCAATTGGTATTTATATTATTTGTCGAAGTTTCATGACCATATATTGCGGTTAAAGAATGCAGAAACACGATTAAACCAAAGTAGTTAAGCAAAGACATCTTTCAACCTGGTGGATTTATATCTCTCAAATTCTAGATGTTAAAAATATAGTACGTCAGTCAAAATTTTTACTTGTGAATGCTTGTAATGCTAAATTTAAATACTTTCACTTTACTAATTGTAAGACAACAAAAACTGTGTTCATATATTATGTATTCTTGTTCATTTAAATCATTAAACAAAACCAAAACATGCCATGCAAATACCAGGAGTACGTTAGAGATTTTGTTTTCTTTCGCTTTTTATCGTAATTAACAGTTTCATCATATCCGTTACCATGCCAAAGGCTCATATATGTATCGGCAAATGCCGATCCTTTCTTGGCATCGGAAGTATTGATACTTTTCCAGTACCAGCGGTATCGAATAGCAAGTACTTATATTAGTTATTATTATGTACACAAGTGCCAGATATGAGGTATGCTGCAATCTCATTGGTTGGCTACTAGACAGATATTAGCTCATATCTGTCTAGTAGAGAAAGTAAACAAAATGGCCGAAAGATTTGGGGAGTTGAGTGAATAGAAATCCAAGCTTTAGTTGATAATAGCACACCAAAATGCACCGAAAGGGCGACAAAGTTTGTGTATATAATAAAACAGTTATCAGCTCATATACGACTCGAGTTCGCAGAATAACTGTTAAATATTGACCCATCTCTACCGTCTCGTAACATGTTCAGTTGTTTCTGGCAGAAACGAAGTACATACTGCTTGCGTGCGTGCAAATATTTGCATTTCGCTACAATTTATGAGATAAACGAAGCTTTATTCGTTGCATATTGAGTAATGTAATACATGCACAAAACTAAGAGTAGGTTTTCGATAAACATCCCCGATTGGGAACATGACATTCAACATGTGGTTTGCAGACGAACTGGCTAACGTTTCAAAGACATATAAATAAACTCGAGTTCTGTCAGCATCAACATTCACAAAATTGCTCAATGAGCATAACTGAGAATTTCTTTTATCACTGATCCATGTGAAATATATAGAGTCCTATCTTAAATCAATGAAAGTTTCAAGATAGAACATTGAAAATAAGTTCATATTCGAGCAGAAATAACGTCATTGAATCGTTACGACGTGATTCAAATCTCCCACTAAACGAGTTTGGAATGCGAGCGAGTTTTTAGAATACAGGCGTTAGACTCGTCTTTCATAATTTTACGTTAATAACATTTTAAGAATTTTCTCATGTTGATTTGTTGTCCGATAGCTATACTTGCCTACTATAATTTATTGTTGAAATGTGGCGGGTGAAATGTGAATGCGTTCACATCAACCACAGTTACTGTGCATAAACCAACCACTTGCGCACTACACTTTGTTGTTGAAATGTGTCAGAATTTAAACGATAAATGCATTCACTGAAACCAGTGCGGGACTGCGTTTTCTGTGAACCCCCATGCAAGGGTCAGTGTGTATGTTTCCTATTTCTTTTATAATCAGTATAACTCAATAAAAAGATTTTATACAAATATTATAATTCGATTCAATTACAAATTCTCATTACATCGCTTCGCTTGTCAAGTTCGGCGGGAAAATTCCCGCTGTGTTTCTATACGGTTATAAAAACACGCTTCTTGACCAATCAGCACGCGCGTACTATAAATTTTATATTATAAACTTTGTTGTTGAAATGTGTCAGAATTTAAAAAGTGGTTAGCTCATTTTAACTTGCGATTTCTGTGCGAATACTTGACCGAATTTAATAAAAACAGAACCATTTTAAAGATGATTTTTGCCGATTTTTTTATGGAAACATACATGACGATATGAATTATCGCATCACCGGCAATATTATTTCACAATAATACAAATATCGAAAAAGATTTCTGTCAAAAAAAACGAAAAACTGACCCCTTGGTCCAATTTTGCGTCAGGAATCGATTTTCGGGGTCAATATTTATCCTAGGGGGAGGGCGTCATGGAGTTTTGTCGCCTTTTCCAACCGCATGACAACATTCCGAGCACGCAGTAAAGTATAAGCACGCGCTTAGCAATAATTATCGCTTAGAATTTATAAAACGCTATTTGTCCGATTCTTTGGCACATCATACCCCCAACAATTACTCAGAATTATAACAGAATGATAATATGTAAAATTGAGACATTTTAAAGACAGCAGAGAACAAAAAGCGAGAAAATACGGAATTTCTAAAGTATATGGTTGCTATAGGTGAGTAATTTGAGATAACAAAGCAACCTATTATTTTGACTTATACAAATGCAGCTTATCACTATAAGCTGGTTTGAATATACTATTTAAATCGTCTTTTTAAGCTCTATCGTTTAGTGGCATTCCGGGGGTCTTTAGCCTATGTACTTTCCGAGATATTTACTGATCCACTGATCCATGTGAGAATATATAGAGTCCTATCTTAAATCAATGGAAAGTTTCAAGGTGGAACACTGAAAATAAGTTCATATTCGAGTAGAAATACCGTCATTAAATCGCTAAGACGTGATTCAAATCTCCTACTCAACGAGTTTTGAATGTGAGTGAGCTTTTAGAATGCAGGCGTAGGCTTGTCTTTATATAATTTTCCTTAATAACATTTTAAGAACTTCGATCCTCACCTTGATTTGTTGTGCGGTATAGCAACTTGCGTACTATAGTTTGTTGTCGAAATGTGTCAGAAGTTAAACGATAAATGCGTTCACATCAACCACAGTTACTGTGCATGAACCAACCTCTTGCGCACTACACTTCGTTGTTGAAATGTGTCAGAATTTAAACGATAAATGCATTCACTGAAACCAGTGTGGGACTGTGTTTTCTGGAAACCCCCATGCAAGGGGCATCGTGTACCAAGAATTAATCATGTGTACATATGAATACTGTTCAGAGAATGGGAATGGGAATAGAAAATGCCACTCTATTTCTTAGTATCGGAAGTATCGATACGTTTCTCAGTATCAGCGATATTGAGTAGGAAGTACTAAGTATTAGTTTATATTGACCCATCTCTATCGTCTCGTAAAATGTTTGTTTCTGGCGGAAACGAAGTACATACTCCTTGCATGCTTTCAAATATTCGCATTTAGGTACAATTTATGAGATAAACGTGCCTTTATTCGTTCCATTGAGTAATGTAATGTACAAGACTAGGACTGTATACGTTTTTGGTAAGCATTCCCGATTGGGAACGTGTGGTTTGCATGCAGACAAACAAATATTTCGATGACATAAATAAACTCGACCTCTCTCAGCGTCAACGCTCACAAAATTACTCAATGAGCATAACTGAGAATTTCATTTATCACTGATCCATGTGAAATATATAGACTCCTATCTTAAATCAATGGAAAGCCCAAAGGTGAAACACTGAAAATAAGTTCATATTCGAGTAGAAACACTGTCATTGAATCGTTATACGAGGTGATTTAAATATCCCACTCAATCAGTTTGAGTGTGAGTGAGATTTTTGAATACAGGCGTTGACTCGTCTTTCTACAATTTCCATTAACTAACATTTTAACAACTTCCTCACCTTGATTTGTTGTGCGATATAGCCACTTGCGTACTATAGTTTGTTGTCGAAATGTGTCAGAAATTAAACGATAAATGCAATAACATCAGCCACATGCAGCTACTGTCCATAAACCAACCACTTGCGCACTACACTTCGTTGTTGAAATGTGTCAGAATTTAAACGATAAATGCATTCACTGAAACCATGCAGTGCGGGACTGTGTTTTCTGGGAACCCCATGCAAGGGGCATCGTGTACCAAGAATTAATCATGTGTACATATGAATACAAGGGTTCAGAAAATGGGAATGGGAATAGAAAATGCCACTCTATTTCTTAGTATCGAAAGTATTGATACGTTTCTCAGTATCAGCGATATTGAGAAGGAAGTACTTAGAATTGGTTTGTATTGACCCATCTCTATCGTCCCGGAAAATTAATATAGGAAGTACTTAGAATTGGTTTATATTGACCCATCTCTATCGTCCCGGAAAATTAATATAGGAAGCACTTAGAATTAGTTTATATTGACCCATCTCTATCGTCTCGTAAAATGTTCGTTTCTGGCGGAAACGAAGTACATACTCCTTGCATACTTTCAAATATTCGCATCTAGCTACAATTTATGAGATAAACGTGGCCTTATTGTATTTCTTCCATTGAGAAATATAATGCACAAGACTAGGACTAGGTTTTTGGTAAGCATCCCCGTTTGGGAACACGTGGTTTGCAGGCGAACCGGCAAGCGTTTCGAAGACATATAAATAATAAGCTCGACTTCTCAGTCTTCTCTCACGATCAACGCTCACAAAATTACTCACACTCATGCTCATTGAATGTGACTTGGAATTTGCTTTATCACTGATCCATGCGAGAATATATAGAGTCCTATCTTTAGTCAATGGAACGTTTCAAGGTAGAACACTGAAAATAAGTTCATATTCGAGTAGAAATAACGTCAATGAATCGCTACGTGACGTGATTCAAATCTCCCACTCATGCAATGAGTTTTGAATGCGAGTGAACTTCTAGAATACAGGCGTCGACTCGTCTTTCTAGAATATTCCATTAATAACATTTTAACAACTTCCTCACCCTGATTTGTTGTGCGATATAGCCACTTGTGAGCTATAGTTTGTTGTTGAAATGTGTCAGAAATTAAACGATAAATGCGTTCACATCCACTGCATGAAAAACCGCGTATTCACAGGTGAATACGTGCGAATATGAGTTCGAATATGGTCCATATTCACACGTATTCACAGATATTCACTGTGAATATCCTCGGAATATTGGGGGTATTCCGATGTGAATACCTGTGAATAAAACACACCGCGTATTCTGACCTAGAATACCTTCGAATACTGTGTGAATATTTTTCAAGACCTAGTATTCACACTTCGGCATAGAAAATGTGATTGTACGCATGAATACGGGATAATCAACGAGTTATATTGTGTAAATATTGCAGGAAATGCGTTTATATACCACAGAATAGGCAAAGGTTGTTTCAGTTCAATGCCGGTGTCAACTGTTATCCAGCATTTCTTCTCATCACGGTCACAAATTGAAATTGCACTTGATTTGTTTAGGCGACAGACAATAAAAACAATAAATGTTACCAAACGCACGATGATTTTTATTTGATTAAGAGGAGATTTTTTAGAAAATCGCGTATTTTTGCACAAAATCGCTCAAAACTTAGCAACCAGGCCTTCGCTAAAATATGCTTTGCAGCCATTTTGAATTTACAAGTTTGGTAAAGTTTTCGTGTTGAGTGACAGCTGTTTTACTAACTTTTGGGGAATTTCAAAAGACGAAAAGCTCCTTGAAACAAAGAAGAACAACAGGTGAGTGTTCGTTTAATTTTTTTGGTATTTTGAATGATATAATTTTCCATGCGTACATTTTTATTAGTGCGAAGGAGTGACACACAGTCACAGTCACACACTAATGTGTAATTGACAGTGTAAACATATTGAAATATACTGATTTTAGTGGTTTAGAATTAATCTTGTGATAAAATAAAAATCTCAAATGTCAACGTTTTTATTTCTAGGTATCCAACACATCTTGGAAAATATGAACAATAGTTTCAGATACGGACATGCCAGTAAACTCGCATTTGCGTTGGAGATGGTGGATAGTTATGTGTAGTAGCTTGAAGATCAGTTTATCTTTATCACAACAATAAAAAAGACCGTAAATAATTTATTCAAGAAACAACACAAAGAAAGGGAAAGTCAAACTATTTTGATTTATTTCAAAAACAACTGCCCTTTCTACTTTATTAACAATGAATTTCTTGTGTGGTGGGTACATAATATGGGACATGTAGGACAATTGGTGGGTCATTCATGGGACAATTCATTCCAAAATTATACAGCTGTAAGTATAAGTAATATAAAACTTGTAATGTGACTTTGTTTTTAAAATATTATGTCATTAATTGCAATAAATAGTGTTTTTGCAATCTTGTGTTGTTTCCACTGTTTTTTCAAAGCCTGCAATAAAAAGTAATAGATATGTCAAATATGTGGCAATGGCAAATTCCTCTATAAGAGATTTATCAAGACAAGTCTGGAGTTAACAAGAAAGGGCTTAAGAGCATGTAGGATGTAGCATCCAGGGCCTGATTTGCACAAACTTCCAGATCTGCAACATGTGTTCAACCAGGATAAATAAAACCCTATACAATCACCATAGAAATATAAAATGGGCTGAAAGCCAATTGTTTGCACAGCTTACAGTATACATTTTATTTTATATCCAAAAATCAGATAGCAACACTGGGCTATTCAAGTACATGTTTGTATACAGCAATCTGTTTCGTGTTGAAACAAATTGTAATTTTGTTCCTCATTGAATATAGGCTAGTAATCACCTTGCCTTTAGTCAGTAATTTTTAGGATTTTACCATTTGTAATAATATTTAAGTGAATAATATTTGTCAAAATATTGGGCAATTGGAGAAAGATACATTGTAAAGATACATGCTGGACTGTACAATAAATACAGGTAGAGAATATCACACAAATCTGGTTCATTTTAAAAAGTCGAAAAATGCTCCACGGCGTACCACTCCAATTTTAATTAAATGATGGTTTTTGTAAACTAGCATACCTAGGGCAAATCATGAAATACGCCTTAGGTTGATCGGAAATGGTTCTCAGTTGATATTTAATCATTTAACTTAAGGTGAAGGTTCCCTCCATATTGGCCAAATCATGGCTTATAGAAAACCTGTGGATTTTGGGAACAAACATGTTCAAACCATCTAAAATCATCATAGAAGTGTAAAATAGGTCGAGAGCCATGTTTGCACAGCTTGTAATATGGCGCTTCGCGTTATATTCAATAAACAGATAGTAATGCTGGACTGTACGAAAAATCCAGGTTGAGAATACACAAATCTGGTTCATTTTAAAAAGTCGAAAAATGCTCCACGGCGTACCACTCCAATTTTAATTAAATGATGCTTTTTGTAAACTAGCATACCTAGGGCAAATCATGAAATATGCCTTAGGTTGATCGGAAACAGTTCTATAGTAATTTACAAGTGGTGAACAACAGTTTTACAACAGACTTATGTATTCATTTTATACTCAATTACACAAAAATATTAATAACTTTTTAGATAAATTTCATGCCTAGATTTTGGGACCAGGGCAATTGTTGTAACAAAATACATCTTAGTTAAACATTAGACGTTATAAATTATAATATGAACACTTCGCTTGAAAGATAAGAGCAAAATACGGATTATAGTGACTGCATTTTGTGAAAATTTAAAATTTGAATCGCTTCTAAATTTAAGCAAGATTTACTCCGAAATAACCAAGTTAAGTTTATATAAAATCCCTTAAATTAAAACTAGAATGTCTAAGGAATGTTGCAAGGTATGATTTATTGTTATCGATGGCAGTAAAATATGAAAAATCCGCAAAAATGCACGCCTACCTTCCATGCTTCTGTGAGAGTCGAATCCTTCCAACCCCTCTGTGTAACATTGCGTTGCTTTTGACTCTTCAATTTTTTTTTTTTTTTCACTGAGATGACATATATTTAATTACAAACTTGAGGTATTACACATATCAAAAGTAATCCTGGAGCGGATTTCACAACACGTTTACAATTATAGTCAAAGATATTACATTTTAAAATTTGATAATTGTTCGGACAGTTCAATGTTCGATGATGAATTTACATTTACAATTTACAGTCAATTACTGTTGAATTCATCTTGTTTATCATTTTACACATCATTCCAATAGTATATTGACGATATTTAACAAAATTAAACGAAAGTCAACAGTTGACTATGTGAAAACACGCAGTAAAGTACTCACACGATATAAGAACCAGCCGCCATGTTACCACCCGATTCATTCGATTAAATCTTAATTTAGTTTTGAGCGCCCAATACGCGATTTTCTAATAAAACTCCTCTTAATTTTTTTGCTGCCGCAGGGATGTCGAGTATCGTATATCCTCAGTCGATGAGCGCTGAGTAGCCTCGTAAGTCGTAAAAAAGCTGTATAAAAAGAGAAATATCCATCAATTTCTTTAATCACCTGTGTAAAAGAAGTTATATATAAAAAAAATACTTTTATTTTTGCTTGGATACGTAAACACATGGGTAGAAAGTTGATGATTCTGTATCGTCAAAAGCATCCGTAATATATACAGTTCAGTGTTGGGAAATCGTAGGAAATTTCCTTTGGGAAATTTCCTCTTCGACATGTTAGTGACAATTTTTGCGCCAAGGAATTGCGGCGAAATTGCGAATAAATGGCGAAATTCGGAGGTCGTATAACAATAACAAATAAATGTCTTTAAATGATTCCTCGCAAAAGTTGTCCAGTTCCCTTTGTTTACAAAACGATAACATGGCACAAATGTCAATTGGTTTCAACCAGGGCGCTTATATATAAATGCGTGGTTTCAACAGAAGTTCAAGCTGTTCAACTTTGAATTGTTAAAGATGTTCGCGATGCCCCAAAATAATTCTTGTGGCGGCGCTAAAATCAGGTAAGTTATTTAATAATAACAAGAGTTATGTCATACTATAGTCCTGAAACACACAACACAACAACAATAGTGCGAGGCCAACGCTTTTACGGCTGGGCTCATCACTTTTTTTTTTTTATTAATATAATAGATTACGATTGTGTTTATTGTAGCTAATTTGTACACAGCTAACTGTACCTGCTTGTAAATAAATAAATTGTATGATGGTTTTCATCAATCCTACCTCCATCACACACTAATTATAGTAGGTACAAATGTTTGCCATTTCAAAGCCATACTCAATACAAACAAAATTTAAAAGTTTGCCAATACTGAAAAGGGACATTACTTTCTTACCTACCACAAATATTCAGAAAGCTGCTGTAATCATAACTTTAACATAACATAACCCTTAGATAGACGTTTCAAGATGCATTGAAATGAGGTGCATTGGTGCATTTCATGAGGGTTTTTTATATTTTAGGCAAAATTTATATATTATAGATATATATTGTTATATAATTGTCACAGAATAGCTAATGATTGATTGCCAAAAGATTGAAATCTTAACAATCAGCTGCCCAAAGACAGAAATCTTAACAGCTTAGAAATCAAAGCCAGACTGTGTTTTTTAGTTATATATAATACATATTTTTTAACAAATAATGGCCTATATTTTTCCTTTTAGCATATATGATTATATTTACACTAATATTTACCACAGAATAGCTATTGAACTGGTTGCCAAAAGATAGGAATCTTAACAACCAGCTGCCCAAAGACAGAAATCTTAACAGCTTAGAAGTTCATGCTAGACTGTGTTTTTAAGTGAAGCCTTTTAACATTGCCCTCATCATAATTTATAACTGAGACTGTTTACTGATTTGTTTGCAATTACTTTTCCGTACATAAATTATAATCACAATACTTAAAGAATATACCATTAAAGTGTAGATGAGTTTACTACAGCTTCTCGATGTTTGCATACTAGGAGTAGCTATGTGTATATACAGCTTTAAGTTCATGGAAGAATTTGTTTCCATTTTTACCCTAATTGATTAGCTTCCAAATTATATGAATGGTGTGTACATTGTACATTGTACATATACATTCTCCTAGGAATATTATAATTTCATTACACTGCATAAATTCTATGCACAACAATAAAAACAAATGGCCATGCATGCAACATCAGCTTTTACCATTATCATTAACCTTTCGGATAATAATCTATTATAGCTTAAGAAAGTTTGCTATGTATTTTGTTCAATAATTGCTTTAAGGTGGTTTTAATTGTTTTTAGCCATCAGGGTTGCAAGATTGAGAAAATTCCCAAAAGAGTTGGCCTTAACTTTGCTAAAGATGAAGAGGATTTTTCACCCAGTGAAAGAAGTTCCTGATTCATTATCTGCTCACCTATAGTTTTTAATATCTTACCAAGTGAAAAAACATCACTTGCTTTGCTCAACAATTTACTATTAAGTATAATTTCTGACATACTCCAGGAGCAATGTTTCATATATACTAAAACAACATTGCTTATAAATTAACAATCAGCTGATGAAAGATTGAAAATCATAACAGCTTAGTAAAATTCATGATAGGCTGTGTTTTTGCTACATATTTTTGAACAATTTGTGATGTTCCAATAATATTTTATAAAATGTGAAATGTTGTAACCCATCACATGTGCATGATCTGTTAAGGACTGTATAAAATTTAAATAATTGACTGAAATCTTAGTATTGCATTTGATCAACCTTGATAAAACACATTAACTGTGGATAAACCTACCATTGCAATGTGTATGACTGCTATGCAATTAAACTATGCTACTAAATTAACATGGCAACCTAAAGATTATGCATGTTTGTTCATATTGATATTTTCCTTAATGGACAGACTTGAGGGACAATAAATGCCTAAACATTCGCACAGGCTGTGAACGCATAACCCATTAACCTCTTATCACCAGGTAATTTGTTAATAAAATGTTGAGATTACTCCCAACATGGTCATAGGGTATAGTCTATAGGCCGGCTATTGAATTCAACTGCACGATATTTAGTCACTCACCGAAGAGGTCCCTTACGCACAAACAGTATATGCGTTTTCGGTTTTGAACAATAAAAAATCCTTGAAATACGGTTAATATTCGTTATCATTTTACACGTATTAGCGAACATAAGGTGCTGTGGAAATCGCGCCATGCAATCTCATTTCTATTTCGCGCATTTTCTTCATCAGACTTCGTGGGAATCGTAGCATACAAATACTCGCCGGCATGCTCTTTAACTGCGACCAGAGTTTCCAGACTTTACCAAGCCCTTGGCATCCTTCACTCTCTTCCCTTATTTATAAGCGCCAAAAAGATTTCTTACAGCCACAAACGCACGATCTCCTCGTTCAATGTTTATTAAACTCGAAAGCGCGCTTTTTGGTTTTTGCGCCAAATTATTTATAAAATTCCACTTCAATTTTTCAGCATTCAAAATAAAGTTTAAAAATGTCAGCTGATGAATTTATTTTGTGGAAACACGGATTAAGTGAGAAGTGAGATATTCCAAGTGTGAATATTGGTCAGAATACGCGGCATATTCACGGCGTATTCACACTTAGAATACTGAAGAATACGATGCCGTATTCACACTAATATTCCATGTCGGAATACGCTTGCAATATGTGTTTTATTCACACCCGTATTCACATGTGAATACCTTGGAATACGGCGCTTTTCATGCAGTGATCAACCACAGTTACTGTGCATAAACCAACCACTTACGCACTACACTTCGTTGTTGAAATGTGTCAGAATTTAAACGATAAATGCGTTCACTGAAAACAATGCGGGACTGCGTTTTCTGGGACGTCCCCCATGCAAGGGTCAGTGTGTACCAAGAATTAATCATGTTTATACATATGAGTACAATGGAGCTACTGACTGTGGTTCAGGAAATGGGAATGGGAATAGAAAATGCCACACTTTTTCTTAGTATCGGAAGTATTGATACGTTTCTCAGTATCAGCGATATCGAGTAGGAAGTACTTAGAATTAGTTTATATTGACCCATCTCTATCGTCTCGTAAAATGTTTGTTTATAGCGAAAACGAAGTACATATTCCTTGCATACTTGCAAATATTCGCATTTAGCCACAATTTATGAGATAGACGTGGCCTTATTCCATCCATTGAGAAATGTAATGCACAAGACTAGGAATAGGTTTTCGGTAAGCATCCCCGATTGGGAACATGTGGTTTGCAGGCGAACTGGCAAGTGTTTCGAAGACATATAAATAATAAGCTCGACTTCTCAGTCCGGCTTCTTTCACGATCAACGCTAACAAAATTACTCACACAGTGCTCATTGAATGTGACTTGTAATTTCTTTTATCACTGACCCATGTGAGAATATATCGGGTAAAACACTGAAAATAAGTTCATATTCGAGTAGAAATACCGCCATTGAATCGCTACGAGGTGATTCAAATCTCGCACTAAATGAGTTTGGAATGCGGGTGAGTTTTTAGAATACAGGCGTTAGACTCGTCTTTATCATGATTTATGAATTTCTTCGCCTTGATTTGTTGTGCGGTATAGCAACTTGCGCACTATACACTTTGCTGTTGAAATGTGTCAAAAATTCAATCAATGCTTACAGCAAGTAGCTGATCTAAGGTTAGTCAGAATAATTTACGCGGTTTAATTTCAATTCAAAACACCTTAATAACACTGTTATTTCCAATGGATTTCAAAAGAATATAAAATTATTTTTGAACCGAAAACTATCAAAGAGATTGCGACTTATTCTGAGTTCGCCACTGTTTAGCTACATCTGAATTCAAAAGTTTACTCACAAACATGAGTCACTGCACTCATGAATGAGTGCATGTAACTTATCTTTAAAATTTTCGTTTGTAAAATTTTAACACATTCCTCAACTTGATTTGTTGAGCGATATAGCCACTTGCGCACTATAGTTTGTTGTTGAAATGTGCCAAAATGTAAATAATAAATGCATTAACATCAGCCACAGTTGCTGTGCATAAACCAGCCACATGCGTACTACACTTTGTTGTTGAATTTAAACGTTAAATGCATCCACTGAAACCAGTGGCAGTGCGGGACTGCGTACCAAGAATTAATCATGATGTATACATATGAATACAATGGAGCGACTGACTGCAGTTCAAGAAATGGAAATAGAAAATTTCTCTTTCTCTTAGTATCGGAAGTATTGATACGTTTTTCAGCATCAGCGATATTGAGTAGGAAGTACTTAGTATTAGTTTATATTGACCCATCTCTATCGTCTCGTAAAATGATTGTTTCTAGTGAAAACGAAATATATATTCCTTGCAAACTTGCAAATATTCGCATTTAGCTACAACGTGCCTGCTCTTATTCCTTATATATCGAGTCCTATCTTTGGTCAATAGAATGTTTCAAGTTAGAACACTGAAAATAAGTTCATATTCGAGTAGAAATACCGTCATTGAATCGCTACGACGTGATTCAAATCTCGCACTCAAATCAGTTTGAGTGTTAGTGAGATTTTAGAATACAGGCGTTGGACTCGTTTTATATAATTTTCCATTAACAACATTTTAAGAACTTCCTCACCTTACCTTGATTTGCTGTGCGATATAGCCACTTGCGCAGTATAGTTTGTTGTTGAAATGTGTCAGAATTTAAACGATAAATGCATTAACATCAGCCACAGTTACTGTGCATAAACCAACCACTTGCGCACTACACTTCGTTGTTGAAATGTGTCTGAATTTAAACGATAAATGCGTTCACTGAAACCAGTGCGGGACTGCGTTTTCTGGGAACGGCCCCCATGTGTGTACCAAGAATTAATCATGTTTATACATATGAGTACAATGGAGCTACTGACTGCGGTTCAGGAAATGGGAATGGAAATAGAAAATGTCACACTTTTTCTTAGTATCGGAAGTATTGATACGTTTCTCAGTATCAGCGATATCGAGTAGGAAGTACTTAGAATTAGTTTATATTGACCCATCTCTATCGTCTCGTAAAATGTTTGTTTATAGCGAAAACGAAGTACATATTCCTTGCATATTTGCAAATATTCGCATTTAGCTACAATTTATGAGATAGACGTGGCCTTATTTCATCCATTGAGAAATGTAATGCACAAGACTAGGAATAGGTTTTCGGTAAGCATCCCCGATTGGGAACATGTGGTCTGCAGGCGAACCGGCAAGCGTTTCGAAGGCATATAAATAATAAGCACGACTTCTCAGTCCGGCTTCTCTCACGATCAACGCTAACAAAATTACTCACACAGTGCTCATTGAATGTGACTTGTAATTTCTTTTATCACTGACCCATGTGAGAATATATCGGGTAAAACACTGAAAATAAGTTCATATTCGAGTAGCTAGAAATACCGTCATTGAATCGCTACGACGTGATTCAAATCTCCCACAAAATGAGTTTGGAATGCGAGCGAGTTTTTAGATTGCAGGCGTTAGACTCGTCTTTATATTTGTTAATTTCTTCGCCTTGATTTGTTGTGCGATGATAGCCACTTGCACACTATAGTTTGTCAATAAAATGTGTCAGAATTTAAACGATGAATGCGTTCACATCAACCACAGTTACTGTGCATAAACCAACCACTTGCGCACTACACTATGTTGTTTAAATGTGTTAGAGTCTAAACGATAAATGCATTCACTGAAACCAGTGCGGGACTGCGTTTTCTGGGAACGGCCCCCATGTGTGTACCAAGAATTAATCATGTTTATACATACGAGTACAATGGAGCTACTGATTGCGGTTCAGGAAATGGGAATGGGAATAGAAAATGCCACACTTTTTCTTAGTATCGGAAGTATTGATACGTTTCTCAGTATCAGCGATATCGAGTAGGAAGTACTTAGAATTAGTTTATATTGACCCATCTCTATCGTCTCGTAAAATGTTTGTTTCTGGCGGAGACGAAGTACATACTCCTTGCATACTTGCAAATATTCGCATTTAGCTACAATTTATGAGATAAACGTGCCTTTATTCGTTCCATTGAGAAATATAATGCACAAGACTAGTAGCAGTGACCTTACATATACCAACGTACACCCTTACATATGCACATCACGAGACGACCAACCGCTGTTCACAACTGGCTCACTGGCTGTAATGAAGAGCGGTTGGTCGTCCCGTGATGTGCGACACCAGCTTTTTGATTCGATACGATTCTGAGTATTTTGTTTGAATGAAATTATGTCATCTTGAGCATTCTCAACATGTGCTAAATTTACTTGCGCAAAAATAAAAAAAGTACGTAAAATACTGTTCATCCGATTTCTCGGATTCCGATTTATATAATATCAGTAATCTGCATGACATCATCATGCAGTCGTCTCGTGACATGTTTATTTCTGGCAGAAACGAAGTACATAAATCCTTGAATATTTGCCAATAATCTCATTTCCCTACATATAAAAAGTCCACCTCCTCTGGGCATCAATCAATGCTTACAGCCAGTAGCGGATCTAAGGTTAGTCAGAATAATTAACGCGGTTTAATTTCAATTCAAAACACTTTAATAACACTGTTATTTCCAATGGATTTCAAAAGAATATATTTTTAAACCGAAAACTATCAGAGAGATTGCAACTTATTCTGAGTTCGCCACTGTTTACATTTGCATTCAAAAGTTTACTCACAAACATGAGTCACTGCACTCATTGATTTGTTGTGCGATATAGCCACTTGCGCATTATGTGTCAAAATGTAGATGATAAATGCATTAACATCAGCCACAGTTGCTGTGCATAAACTATCCGCTTGCGTACTACACCAGTTGTTGTTGAATTTAATCGATAAATGCATTCACTCAAACCAGTACGGGGCTGCGTTTTCTGGGAATCCCCATGAAAGGGTCAGTGTGTACCAAGAATTAATCATGTATATACATATGAATACAATGGAGCGACTGACTGCAGTTCAGTAAATAGAAATGGAAATAGAAAATTTCTCTTTCTCTTAGTATCGGAAGTATTGATACGTTTCTCAGTATCAGCGATATTGAGTAGGAAGTACTTAGTATTAGTTTATATTGACCCATCTCTATCGTCCCGTAAAATGTTTGTTTCTCAGTGGCGGAAACGAAGTACATACTCCTTGCATACTTTCAAATATTCGCATTTAGCTACAATTTATGAGATAAACGTGCCTTTATTCGTTCAATTGAGAAATGTAATGCACAAAACTAGGAATAGTTTTTCGGTAAGCATCCCCGATTGGGAACATGTGGTTTGCAGACGAACAAATATTTCGAAGACATAAATAAACTCGACCTCTCTCAGCATCAACGCTCACAAAATTACTCAATGAACATAACTGAGAAATTCTTTTATCACTGATCCATGTGAAATATATAGAGTCCTATCTTAAAGCAATGAAAAAACTGAAGGTAAAGCACTAAAAATAAGTTCATATTCGAGTAGAAATACTTGATTTAAATATCCCACTCAATCAGTTTGAGTGTTAGTGAGATTTTGGAATACATGCAGGCGTTAGACTCGTCTTTATATAATTTTCCTTAAAAACATTTTAAGAACTTCTACACCTTGATTTAGTGTGCGATATAGCCACTTGCGCACTACACTTTGTTGTTGAAATGTGTCAGAATTTAAACGATAAATGCATTCACTGAAACCAGTGCAGGACTGCGTTTTCGGGGAACCCCCATGCAAAGGTCAGTGTGTACCAAGAATTAATCATGGATACATATGAATAAAATGGGCCAATGACTGCGGCTGAACGAACTTTTACTAACAAAGGCTAATTTTAATATCCAAGTTGATATTTTGCTAATATTGTAGAAAATGTGAAACTTGCATTTAAAAACTTGACAGTTACACAGTACTGGCGTATACAGCCCAAATTTGCGTGGTGATTTTAACGCGAGAAAATTTTTCGGCAATTTGTCTCACATGATAGCATTATGAATCATAACATACGCGTTGAAATTTCTACAATATGCTGACATGCAACAGAATCAGTGGCAGCTAGTGACCTTACATATTACATGCACATGTACATTCCTGCCAGTAGATTTTACCAGACTGTTGAACAAGGGATTAGCAGGGACATCTTTTAAATATAGATATAAAGTATTGGGACAGGTTGCCACCAGCAAAAATAATAGGAATGAATTAGCTTGGACCATTTTTACATAAAAAAGGCATTCCTCGTCGAACCTATCATATTGAGGTTTTATATATTGACTATTAATATGTATTGTCTCATAGTGAGAAAATGCGATTTAAACACAATTTCATGAATCTGTCCGACAGATTCCTTAAGAATCATTCCTACTACGACGCAAAGCGAAGTAGATATGATGATTTAGTACTTGGAGTTTAACCCAAACATCACCAGGAACATGTTTTCCTGGAATATCAAGATTTCAACTCCAGGAACTAGACAGACTTATCCTCTTCCGGTTTGCGTAACTCTGAAGCCTGGTTCTCATTTGTCACCGACGGTCGGCGATGGCTATTGTCGGTGATCACTGGAGGATAAACTGCTTTGTTATTTTGTATAAATTCTGGACGCGATTTGGCAACGCGGCGCGATTTTTCATAGTGTTTTATTTTCCGAAAGCAAAAGAGTAGACTTCATCTTATGAATAGACTGCAAAAACTACCTCTGAAATTACGAGATTGCAGGCGTTTTTATCAAAAGTATTGGTTAATGTTTTCACTGATATTTTTATATTGATGCATAAAAGCATCATTGAGACTCATTATAATGGATATATTATCTCCGCGTTTACACTACAGTCAATTTATTGACACGGAACGGCTAAAAGTGGTTCCCGTACCCAATTTCATTAGCGCTCACTGCTCAGCACGAATAAGCATAAAGCACGACTTTCAAAGTGTAAAACAATAAAGTGAAAGCCTTTTCTATGTGTAAACATATGGTTTATTTGTTCAGTTTTGAACTTATACACTTTTTAATTAAAGTACAATGTGCTGTCTAAATGTCGAACAAAAGTAAGGTTCTTAAGGCTTCTAAATGAATATATGGACTGCATGTATAGTGTTTATTAACGAACACCGGCCAAGTGACTGTGCGACCATTCTTTTGTTATAAATAATACGTACATCATATTATTTTTGTGGTGTAACACGTTTTGCGGTTTCTTGATCTGGTATATATCAGGTATTATATAATTATACGGTGGTTCCTGTTCCGCTTGGATATTATTAAGAAGAGTTATAAATTTAAAGTGTGCTTAGAAATATCTGTGCCTAAACATTTAAGGTAGTATTATACAGAAAAATGTTTTTCTTTTAGTTTAAAAAATATGAAAATCTTTTCATACCATATTGCAAGTTATTAAACGTGACATATTTTCATATTATCAATGACAATCATAGATGATTGTCTTTTGTGTACACTGATATTATCAAAATTTGCATGATCGGTGCTGGAAATTCATGAAAATCTTTACCGTTTTATAGTCAGGCTTTTGAAATTATGATACTAATTAAAAAAAAAGTTTTTGCAGTCGTTGAATGATTTAAAGTAAAATTGCATTTTACTTAAAATATTTCTCCACGATTTCTATACCGTGCTTCCATAAATTCTTCGGCAAAAAGTCAGGAATATGCAGCTTTGCTACGTCAACACCAAACCCGACTTTCTTCACATTGTGGTGATCTTCACCTGGATTATCTGCACCTGGGTTATCTTCAAC